ACTACTTTTTGTTCGCTATATGCCCATTTACCCACTAGACTATCGTTGATAGTCTGTCCTCAACAGTAAAGCACACATTATTTGGTTAAAAAGAGAGAAAAAGAGACAAACTTTTTTTCTTTCTCTCTTTCTTATTTGTATGGCAATTTTATTTTTAGATTTTTTAACCAACAACGGTAAACAATTTAATACACAAATTAAAAAGTATAATCCCTATTACATTATAAAATAATTATGAAAATTAAAAAAAAAATAAAAAAAAATATATTAATGTGCAATTAATTAATTATAAAAAAAAAATAATTAAAAAAATGACCCACGTGGGTATTGAACCTGGGAATAAAAAAATATTTAATTGCTATTTAAACACACTTTAAACGTGGCAGCTTAAAATTTTCAAATCGAGTTTTATAGATTTTTAAATGCTAAATTTAAATAGTGTTATTTGAATAAAAATATAGATGAATGTGTTTGTATGTATGTACATATATTTCTGTATATAGCAACTAATCAAGGTCATATTGATTTAATGCAATCAATTCAAATTATAAACATATCGTTGTTGCGCAAAAGAATAACGTAGGAGTATTTTTTTCTTTATAAGAGAAAAGCCAGGACTTTTTGAAATTTATATTATTGAATATTCATGAAGAATGTTAATTTATGATCGAAAGGGTTAAACAATATAATATGTCTGTGAGTTTTACAGATTTTAGTAAGAAATAGTCACAAGTAGTCAGAAAAACAACAATATATATTGAAATTTTAGTACAGTAATGACTTATTGTAAAAACTTGTCACCCAAATTTTCATCAAATTTTAAAAATGTATTAATAAAACTCTTAAATGTCACATTTTTAATAAATTTCATGGAACTATGTACATATACATAAGTAAGTTGGCTCTTTTATGCTAACTGCCTGATCTAACCAAATATTTTATTACTATAATATTATATTTTTGATGATTATCCTGTATTTGTAGGTTATAATTCTCTCTAATATTTATTTTATTTTATACAAATTAGTGAAATAGCACGAAATATTCAAATAAATGCTCAATTTGAAATATAATTAGGAACAATGTTATATTTATTTTACTTTAAAATATAAGATAAGTGCTAATTAAATGCTCGACTAGAAATTAATTTAAATATGTTTATAAACATTTTCTTTAAATTTAGCTCTTGATTAAATATTATCAAATAGATAAAGTCAATAGGTACATATTAAATACAATTTTCGAATTTGATAATGAAGAGTATGTATTCAAATCATTTTATATATGTATATACATATGTATGGATATACACAATATTTAGAAGAAGGGAATGGAAAAGAGAATGTCATACTACTACTACTACTTCCTAGGTTAAGGCCAATTATTTCATTTAGATTATAAAAATTATAAATATAACAATGTAAATAATGCAAAGAAAATACAAACAATCTACTTACATTGTATTGTAACGATAAGACACATTTTCTATTCACTATATTTTCAAAGCACTTGACGATATTTTTTGCATATAGTAGTTCTATAATTTACATTAATTAATTGATATTGAATGCAGACGGAATTGATTATTTTATATACACACAAGTATGTACATATGTATGTACATACGTAAGCTATTCATTATTATTATTATATTTTTAAAGTAGTAGTGTTTTTTTACCATGTCTGATAACTTTGTATGCAAATAATAATGAAATACTAGCCGAACACAAATTTTATTCGGTAGAACCTTTTTTAAAGCCGTTCTTAAACAAATAATTCAATTCTGTTTGAAAAATATAAGATCAATGATATTGATCATATAACATATTTTTTCTAGAAGTACATATTTAGAATATAGAAAAAATATTTTTGAAAATGTGTAAATTCATATGACTTAATACTTTTACAGTTTTAGTAAAGTTTGCAAATAAGTTTCTTCTTTCAAAAAAAATCAAATAAAATTTTATTTGATAAAAAAATGATAAAACAGAAGTCAATAATACCAAATACATATAGAGCTACCACTAGCAAAGCAAGCACCATGTTCAGAATAAATATTATCAAAACGTGTATTTTATATGTATGCCTACATATGTACATACAAACATATCTATATACTACTTGCAAACAAATATATTTATAAAATAAATAAAAATATAATTAGAGAATTATTTTTATTCGGCCTTTAATTTGGCATAAACTTATTGTATTCGTACAATAAATCAGGTTTACAACTCAGTTTACAACTATAGTATACAATACATGCACTTATTTATATTTTTCCACATGACAATTTTTTTTAATTTACTTCTTAAGGTGTGTACACATGTCTTTATTAATAAGAAAATTCCCTATATTGAAAATAACTGGATCTATGGGGTTTTTCCTTAGCAATATATAAAGAAATTTCAAATGATAAAAAATAATAAAAAAAAAACTGCGCATATAAAAAATTTAACTTCTAAAATTTTTGTTCAATAATGATAAACATAAGCAAACAAAAAAAAAATACTAAAATGTAGTTACGTAACATTTGAAATAGAAAAAAAAAATAATGGAAAGTCTCAAAAAATGCCGCATGTTCAAAGAACTGGAATCGCAGTAAATATGTACGATAAATCAAAAGTAAATTACAAGAAATAATTAAAACAAACAATAATATATTCTTGTGTGCTGTTTTACACAAATAGAAGAACATAAGCCAAATGTAATTATGCAAATTAATTGTTCCATATTAAAAAAGAAAGTTTTCAAGTATAACTTGTTCTTGAAATTAAATTAAACTTGCACTTACCAGTTTCCTTCATCATTATTTCGTCCTCGGTAAGAAGGGTCAAGGGAGTGGGAGTGCCGGGATTGCCAGAGGACATAGCACATTGTTGTTGACGCAAGGCATTGGCGATCTGCAAACGAATAATAATATTGCTTCAATTAGCTGGGATTTACATTATATAACATTACTGTTATTATTTAATTTAATATCTGAATCGAGTTTAAGTTAAATACTCAAAACTAACTTTAAGCTTTGCTGTGTCAGTCTGTATGTTAAACAAAACCACAATTGAGAACTTACCAAACGTGTAGGCAACTTTCTTAAAGCATTCATTTTGTATTTTTTTTTACTTTTTATATTTGTGCAAATTTAAAATACTTTTTTAATTTATTTAAAAAATAAACCAAAGTGGTCAACAACTACTATGACGAGAACAACCTCTAACGTCTGGCAGCGTACACTCAACTGATCAAAAGTGATCCTCCAGTACACGTATCAACCTAAATTCTCATAAACATAACAGATCGACTGAAATAAATTGAGCGAGTGATGACGACGGGCCCACTTGTTATTATTTATTGTATTTTATATATGGATTTCATTCTATTGTACTTGATTTAACGAACAATATTTTGTTTTTGTTGAGCATTTTAAATTGTATTGCTACAATCAAATAAAAAAAGCTAAACAGCAGACAAGAAATCATCGTTTTGTTATACTACACATAAAATGTTAAGTATAACAGTAAATGTTAATTTTTACTTATTCAATATATTCAAGCAGTACCGACTTACCATCCACCTACCCCACCTCATACAATACAAACTTTAGAGCAGCAGAACTATATTATAGCTTAAACATTCTTATCTAACTGTAGAGATTATTAAATTGTTGTCTTATTAATTTTGACACTTACACAAGTCTTTAAAAACTACATAGAAACATCAAACAACTCTCCATTTTGTAAATGTTGTCTAAAAATAATATAAAATAAAACCAACTGCATAAATGATACTAAAAGCAAAATACATATTGAATCATCTTGAATCATGATAGTACATATGTACGTCCGTCCATTTATTCAAATATTTGTTGTACTACATTTCGCTTCTTTTTATTTGAACATTAGTTTTGTTAGATCAAACCAAATTGAAAATTTAACTTATACCGAATTCGATTTTAAATTTCAGAAAAAGAAAAACAAACATTTCCTTCGGAATTAAACCACTTTCAGTTAAATAAAGTGGAGTTTCACTTTGATTAAAACTTAAAAAATACAAATTGATAATTATACTTAAAAAATTGAAAGTGATTTCATTCGTTTTGTTTTTTTTTTTTTTTAATTCTCGGCTAAATATTAATGAGCGTTATAAAAACATTGAATTACATTACAAACACATTAAAATAATGATTTTTTTTTTTCACTAAAAAATTAAAAAAAAAATCACTAAAATTATTGCGATTGAAAAATATTTAAGTAATTATTCTAAAAAAGAAAATATATTTTCTTATAAAAACTTTTCTCAAATAAAAATTCTAATTGTATTTTAGAACATTCCAATTGGATTTCAAAAATTTCCAATAAAGTTCAAATGTTTCGATTTATATATTTTAATTGGATCCTCGTGATTTGGAGATTATTTTAACAGTTTCAAAATTTGTTATTGTAACAGTTCAACTGTGGCCTATAGTTCTTTCCTGGAGTAAAACTTTCGGTTGATACAGCTGTCGCTGGACCGACAATCTTTGGCCGTGTATGACGCAGGAACGTAAAATTTGTCATGTTGTTTGCCTAATATAAATTTGATTTTTCGATTTTTTAATTCAACCAATTTTAATAAAGAGGGCAAAGTATAACAAAGAGGGTTTACATTACAATTCTTTGTATTAATGTCAGAGTTTCATCAGAGTTTTGTCTTTAATACAAAACAAAATTTGTTGTCAAAATGCACCTACATTTCTGTAATGCCAACATACTGCGCATCATATGCAGTGGAGTAACACAAAACGCATTCTCATTCTACCTATACAATCTTATTGTTCTAATGGAACACCAAAATTCCCTTAGTCTATTTTTGCAAACAAAATTTCGATTTACTTCAATTTAATATTGACAAGAAACAAATAATTTCTGCATCCACATTATCTAATTTTTGTAATCCAAAAGGCAACGTTCAATACAAACCAGTCTATAAGCTTTTAAGAATAATGAGTAAACATGTAAGGATCTTCTTTAATAAAAAGAAATAAAACTTCCAATTTTATTTAATAAAAAATAAAACGCTTCACAATCACGTTCGTCTTGATATTTAAATGAAAAACGGCAGAGGGATTCAAACCATTTGACAGCAGTAGAAGCACAACTATATAAACTAAAGGTAGACAGTTTGTTTGCTTGTTTAAGCAGTTTCCATGGGCTGAGCGGCAGTCTCTTCGGTATATTTGCCCTTGTCCTTGCCCAAAGCAGCCAAACGTCCCTTGCCGCGACGTTCCAAAATGGCCTTACGGTCCTTGTCCAATTTCAATTTGACAATCAAACATTTGGAGGGGTGAATGCCGACATAGACATTGGTGCCATTGGCATTTTCGCGTTGGATCTTCTCAATGTAAACGACGAACTTTTTACGATAGGCTTGGACAACTTTGCCAACTTGGTTGCCCTTGAAGTGACCACGCACTACTTGGACTTCATCGTCCTTGCGGATTGGCATGGAACGGACGTTGTACTTTTGACGCAACTCCTTGGAAAGGGGAGCAGACATAAGACGACGACGAATGTGGGAAGGAGCCTGGAAATGGCGCTTGCGGTTCTTTCTGCGAGAAGAGGTTACAAACTTGTTCAATTTCATGTTGGCGGCTCTAGTTGTGTTCACTAAAACAAAACAAACAGAAAAACAAATACTTTATTAGTTAATGTTATTCATATGAATGTATTTTTTATGTTAAATGCGACATTTTTAGTGTCAATGAAAATGTTGCAAACACTTATAATTAATCACACTGTCCCGTATCATTATTTCCACATATTTATTTACATATTTTTCACATTTTGCCTCTGGTGCTAGCTAGGCTACATGTTTTTATTTTCTCTTGCGGCATTCTCGCTTTATTTTCGACATTTTACATTTTCATCAACACTTCAAAGGGAAATTTTTGCACTTTAACATAATTTAATGTTTCATTTAGATTTTGCATGAATTAATTTATTTTTGAAAATTTGTTTAATTACGATGTTTTTTGATAAAAAAATCTACTCGAAAAAAACTTACACCAAACAACTATCGTAAAAATACGAAAAAGAAAGAATTTGACAGTTGCACTGTCGGAAGTAAAAAGATGTCAAACAACATTTCGTTGAGTTTCATAAACGTCAAACCAAACACAACACTGTTTTTAACGAAAACAAAAGAGTTGTATTTTCATGTATAAAAATAAAGTGCAAAATTACTTTTAGGGTTTCCATAGTAATAAAACTAATCGTTAAGAATATGTTTACAATTTAAATAACCAATAATTTATTTGATTTACTGCCAATATCCTTAACTACTAAATATCAACAATTTCGACAAAAATCAAAATTAAAAAACTGTTAAAACAAAAAATGTAGGTATGTGCTTTCCAAACATGTTAACTGCGACCCCTATCTTTGGCACTCGACACTTGTTGGTTTTTAAAAGGGAATCAAATAAAAACAAAGAAAAGAAGTAGAAAAGTATTAGAAAAAATACATATTTAATCACACGTGCCGGAATTGATTCTTAAAAATTGTAAAAAGAAAATAAAAAAGAACTAAATTAAAATGGAGATGATGGTTTGTAAAATTATTATAATCAAAATAAAAATAATGTTCGCGAAAATGGTTATTTTAGCAAGGAGCTTCTCTTTTATCTCGGCCAGCCGATGAATTTGGAAATGATGGTTTGGTAGAGGAAATGTGGGCAGTAAAGGCCATGGATCATGCTGAAGTGTATTTTAATGTAAGTTATAGAGCAGATATAAAATGACTATCAAATAAAATCCGAATGTTAATATTGCAGCTACTTACAAGTGTCCACCCTTCATGCATCAAACTGACCCCATATGATGATCAAATTTACCAAACATTTCGACAAGACTTTCCAAATTTAAAAGTCGACGTTTTAACAGATGATATTCTTAAATCTCCAGCAGCGAAACAAGAATGGCGTCAATTTGCCGAAAAGTTTAACAAGTTGGAAGATTATTCCTATGGCACCTTAATGCGGGCCAATGCAGCAGAAGAATTTTCGCCTGACAATTCACTTTTAGTAGTGCGCATCCAGTTCCTTGCTATAGAAATTGCACGAAATCGTGAAGGTTATAATAATGACGTACACCAAAAGTTTCGCCCCGCTCCAAAATCTAGCACAATAACAAGTGAAAATCAATTGTACCAAGAAGTGTCCAAGTAGATTAATTATCTATTAAATATAAGTTTTTAAGCAGAATTTTATGTACTATTTTATACTGAAGACAAATCCTAATACAAAGAACAATTAATCAATATTTATGTTCGAGAAACTTGCATAAATTATTAAATTACAGTTACATACTATCCCAACTCCGACTTTAAAACACAACTAGATGTACTCAAAAACTACATAATTTTTCTCTATATACAGCCTTATAATTAAACTACAAGCAAATCAATGTAAATGTGATTTTAAGGAATATACATTTCTAATTTTAAAATACTTCACAAATAATTTCTCATGACGCAGAAAAACTATCTGGTATTATTGGATTACTGCAGATGAATAGTTTGCGATGTTTACACAAATAAAACTGTTGCTTTTATACATAGACTTCTACTTTCGCTTAAAAATGAGTAAATGAAAATAAAGTGCATGAAATATGTGATGGATTTCGGAACGAACTGCGCATTATATATAACGCATTCATTCATTCACCAATGTTTTGGTTATCCCAGTTCCAATATTTTGCTATTCTTAAACATATTTCTGCTTCAGTCTTTTTTTTTTTTTTTGCTATCCAACTATTTACACAATGTTCTATCTGACTGAGATCCAGCGATTCTGAAATTTTTCCCAATATCGTCATTCCTTAAGCGAACATAATCCGCGGAATCGGCGGATACAATCTTTTTCTACATCATTTAGCGGCATTCAGAGCTTAAGATATTAAACTTTAGTTCACCCGAGAGCAGCACTTGTTCTATAAAATTTCTTTAACTGAATTTGAAATGAAACGAAATATATTCTTTGTGGCTAGTGCGTTAAGGTACCTAAAAATTCGTTGCTTTTCAAAATAAAATGGAAAACATCGAAAAACGCTTTTGCTTCCATTTTAGTTTTGTACATCGAATTTCGGTATCACATAACATAATAGGTTAATATGTATTTATTATTTTTATTAATATTAGTAATATGTGTATGTAAATGTTTATTTCATATCCTCCTGCTCATTAGATGAAGTACATAGGATTTCTGTTTAGAAAATCTGGTTTGATTAGACGATTTTCGTATTCTCTGTTCAAATTCCTATCAAATCTTTGAGTTCTGAAATATTTGTAGAAAATTGTATTATATTTGTATTAGTATTTGTTTTAATTTATCTCACCCTTCCAAGTAAACACGCCCACGGAATGCTACCAAATGGGCCAAGTATGCTGGAGCCGGATATGATACAGCACGATTACAACGTGGAAACAAATGACAGAGATTATATGTCAACTTTTGCAAGAGATTTATATCAAAATTCGATTCGTCCAGAATAACATTGTATCGTGTCGGTCTAGCCGTACCCTGTATAGACTGATGGCTAACCATGAAGAACTGCACTTCATTGGGATGGGTGATGTGTTGATCGACAACCGTGCCCGCTTGAACATTATTAAAGTCCCTTTCGTGCTGTGGTTGGGTTGTTGGGAAGAAACGAGTATGATGACGTTTAACTACTATAACGCATGTTATCTTAGGATTGCAGCCCTGTAAATGACAATTTTATGCATAATTTAAGCGGAAGTACGAATCAATAAATTTACCTTTTTTCTGCAAGCATTTCGAATGGCACGAATTTCTTCGCGCTCTACTATAGGAAACTGACCATCTGATACACCGTCACGATAATAAATTAGAAGGCTAGGATAAGTTTTCTGATATTTGTGGTAAACTTCCAAATGCCGGGTAACAATCGACTCCATATCTTCGATATTTTCAACAGTGGAACGTTGAAGACGATATTGGCAGTTGTAACAAGCACCATGTGCGTCATGTGATGCAGTAACACCAACCACACTTGGTATGTGGCGTTGATCTGGAGAGGGATGTGTTACATCGGCTCCCAAGTACATAACATTCTTTATAGGGGACAGTAAATTCGAATCTTTATCCGCTGCAATTTTATGATTAGTGCCATTTAATTTCCCATTTACTTTTAGCAAAATGTTGGAAAATACGGTTCGGTCTTTGATAGTTCGAAAGATAGTCTTGTCCTTAATACATTGCGTTAAAATGCCAATACTTAATTCAGCGGTTTGTTTAATTTTAGAATAAGGAGTACCTCTCTCAGAAAGGACAACAAAAACCTAAAAAAAAGTTTAAGATTTATAGATAATTTATATGCAAAATTAGTAAATATTAAAAAGTTAAGTTGTCCAGATTATGATTTTACTAGATGTATTAACATAATTAACTTATATATAAATATAAAACTGACCAGATCGTATTTATCCATAGCAAGTTGTTTAAGCATTGCATCCAAATTGCGGAAATTATAACTTTTTATCTCTGCAGTGTTTTGCAAGTTCATATTAAGATTTTGTGATGTTTTAATGACCTGAAAAATTAAGGGAATTTTACAATAAAATTTATTCGTGCATATAGTACTTACATTCGATTTAAAAGTTTCGAGATCATGATATGAAATACCTCGATTGTTTGTGCTTTCTTCATATAGAATGGCCCATTTATGACCATTGGGTGGTTTTGATGTAATTAAGAATTTAACATTTTTGATATCCTCCATACGCCATGCTCCTTTAAATGTTGTTATAGTTTGGCCTTGGAGATATTCCATGTATGGCGCTGGCAACAGACGCATTGGAACTTTTATGAAATTCGAACCAATTCGTAAACCGAATTCTCTTATTATTGGATTGTCATTGTGATCGAAATAACTTAATAGTTCCATTATTTTTTGTTTACGTCTGTTAGTTGATGTTGCGGCGTAACGGATCATATTTTGAACTTGCCTATCTTTGTCCTTGCGCTGAAATATTAACCAAATTAATTTGACTTTATTTTTCACACACTTAACGGACTTACGTTTAGTGCTTGACCGCTGGGAATTGAACATAACTCCATTGGCAAGGAGATTTGTCGTACAGTTGAGCCAACACTTATACAATTAAGATTTGGGTAATTTAATTTGTAACCTCGAGAACTGAAGTAGTTAGCCACCGTAATCTCTTTCCCGTCATCAGTTTTGAATTTTTTTTGGGATGCTGGGTCTCCAACTTCTATAAGTTTATATTGTTTGGGAGAAGCGCCGAAACTTTTGGGCGGCGTATAGAGGATATTAATGCCTTTTAAATAACTAGAAACGTCTCTAAAAGCCCTATCTTGCCTTATATCTCGAGTTATATCGATGCGCTGATTTTTTAAATAATCAATGATAGTTGATTCACAGGGAAATGATTTATGGGCAATGTCCACATTTAAAAGTGGTTGTTCGCCTAATATGGCTGCTTGATACAGACCAGTCCAAGCTTCGTAACCGTCCTGTAAATTGTATGCATCTGAGGGTCTACGGAAGAATGAGCGTCCTACGCGAATACCACGTTCGTGATTGTTACTAGCGAGAACGACTTCCAAAACTTGAAGAGCCCTCATTGGTTTATCGGAAACTCTTTCATTTTGATAGCTAAATTCACAAAACAAATTATTAGCATACAATCCACACAATAGATTACAAAATTCTTACGTTCTTAATGTTTCCAAGTCTACAACACAGTTATCAGTTTCCTTTATTTCTACTTGCATCTCTCTCATTCTATTACTAGAATCGGGTACCTATTATTGTAATAAAGCTCTAGAAAATAACGCTTTAAGAGAAAATTTAAATTACGTACTTCGATTTTAATATCGATGGGAACATTCAAACGTTGCAACGTATAACAATTTTTCATGCCGTCAAAAGCCGAAAATATATCCGGAAACTTTGCACGTCTACATTGTTCAAATGCAGGCCGCAAAAACTTTTTTGGTCTATCGGGTGTGATGGTTACATCGTAGTGATATGCTTCTTTGGGCATATTTTTCAAGTCCAATTTCAGATAGTTTACTTCCACAACGCCAGGTCTTCCCAAAGTTCCACGAACAATACCATTACACGATTTCGCCTTAGTTGGTAGAGGAATTTCTAGAATGATGTACATGCATATGTATGTAAGTAGTTATATTACATTTATACTAATGATGTATCTTACCATCACTAATCGTTAGTTGCTCCATTTGTTTACTTAACGTTGCGCTGTGTTGTTGCTGTTGGCCTTGGCCGGGTCGACCCTGTCGAGGCATTTGTTGCTGACCTCCTCCGCCATGTTGACGGCCTTGATCACGTTGTTGACTCCAACCTTCTCCTTGTTTCTGATCCCTACCTCCTTGTTGATAAGAACCACGTTGTGGCTGATCTCTCCACCCTTGTTGCTGATTTGAACCACGTTGTTGTTGATCTCTTCCGCCTTGTTGTTGATTAGGACCACGTTGTTGCTGATCCCTACCACCTTGTTGATTAAGATCACGACGTTGTTGATCTCTTCCGCTTTGTTGTTGATTAGGACCACGTTGTTGTTGATCCCTACCGCCTGGTTGATCTCTACATTCTTGTTGCTGATTGGGACCTCGTTGTTGCTCTCTTCCTCCTTGTTGATTTCGTCCACCCCCCCCTGCACCTTGTTGAGGCATTTGTTGTTGCTGTGGCTGACCTCCACCCCAGGCACCTTGTTGGGGCTTTTGTTGTGGCTGACCTCCACCCCAGGCACCTTGTTGGGGCTTTTGTTGTTGCTGTGGCTGACCTCCACTCCAGGCACCTTGTTGGGGCTTTTGTTGTTGCTGACCTCCACCCCAGGCACCTTGTTGGGGCTTTTGTTGTTGCTGTGGTTGACCTCCACCGCGGACATCTTGTTGTGGCTTTTGTTGTTGCTGTGTCTGTCCTCCACTTCCAGCACCCTGTTGAGGCTTTTGTTGCTGCTGTGGCTGTGCTCCTCCTTGTTGGGGCTTTTGTTGTTGCTTCGGCTGTCCTCCACCTCCAGCACCTTGTTGAGGTTTTTGCTGCTGCTGACCACGTCCACCTTCACCTTTGGAAAAACAAATCAATTTTATGTCAAGAATTTCACAAAAAAATGGATTCAAACCTACAATATTTTTTGAACGTTTACATAACTAAAGAATTTTATAAAATAAATATACCTACATACATTAGACCGACTCATAAAAATGGTGCTTTAGTTACCCTTCTCAAAATATTCGTTATGTCATACGATGTTACCCAAAATATGTTGGCTTTAGTGTGGCCATTCGTGAGCTAGACAGTTTTCAATAATATATTCTACA